AAACTCTAAACTCTAAAAGTCTAAGACTACTTAAAACCATGAGAGTAAAAGCAGATTTCTGTTCATCTGGTTTGAAGGGCCATTTTAGTCTAGAACTACTCTCCGGCAAAGCACCCCTGTAGGAGACCCTGTCAAAAGTAAACATCTTGAGGTGTTTTCCTGTCATCTGCGTCATCGGCTATGCCGGAAAACACATTGGAAATGGAGCAGAGTGGTTTACTTGATCCGATGAAGCACAATCACATTTGTGATGACAACTGTCCGATGACTGTGTGTTGTGATATTGTCATTGTGAGTCACTGTGTCAGGATCAGTCTGTGGAGTTCGCTGGAAGAAACTTTACTCAGCCACTTTAATCATCACACCCACGTGTAAACCGCTGTTATAGTGAACTATAGTAAAAGTGAAGCACATGGAGGAACAGAAAGCACTTGAAAGATCATGATGATTTCTCTGGAAGTCTTATGTCATGATATTTTGTCTATATTGGGCCAGTTGTTCTGTGGGACGTCAGTATCGGACGAAGTACACTCATCAAGTACTTTATAAATTAAAATATTAATCCAGTAAAAGTACTCATTTTCAATTTTACTTGAATAAACAACCCTATCTCATGGCAGTTCGTACATATTTAATGAGGTGGTTAATTCGTATGACCTCACTCGTACAAATTTGTATGATTTTTGCTAAATCGTATGTATTTTACGAGTTCCCCAATTCGTATGAATTCGTACGAATGACACACCCCTAACCCCGCCCCTAAATCTATCCGTCACTGGGGTCTAGACAAATCGTACAAAATCGTACGAGTGAGGTCGTACAAATTCGTACAAAGTAGCCACCTCATAAAATATGTACGAATTGGTAGTGAAATAGAGTTGGAATAAAAGTACAAAAAAAAAATTTTTTTTAATGTATCAAAAGTATTTAAAGTAAAAAGTGTCCACATCCAAGCATTTTAACTGACTTAAACAGTTTGCACTTTTACAGCATATTCAGTTGATTTTCATTTACAAAAATCAACACTAAAATTCACTTTCTTTAGTTAGTAGTGATAGTTAGAAGTTTGTACCGTTTAAGTGCAGACAATATCACAGTTCTTGGCTCATTTTGAACAGATCATGGAGATGCGGATCAGTCAGATTCCCAAATGCATTGTCTGATTTGTGAACCAATTCAACAGGTTCATTGGAACTGGACACCGATCTGGTTTCTTCAGTTCAAAATAACAAGGAACGATATGAAGACTTCAGATGCAAAAGTCCATCCTAGATTTTGTCTTTTAAATGAGCATTTTTATCAGTTTCTATGAAAATAACATTAGACATTTTTGAAAACAAAGCATTGAATAACTGACTAATAGCTTTTTATTAGTTTTAAGCCTTTTAAAAATACTCATTTAAAAGAAAAATCTCAGTCGGACTTAAAGGTTTTGGCATCTGAAGTCTTCATATGTTTTTATGAAATATAAATTTAGTAAAAAGTATAATATTATGCTTTATAATGTATTGAAGTAAAAGCTTTCCAAAATAAAAATACTCTGACAAAGTATGACACAGCAAGTAACACAGAATTAAACATGACATTTTTAAGTAGAAAGACCCAAGTAGTATTTTCTTGCAAAATGTAATCTTTGTTTTATTAACATTTATATATATATATATATATATATACATACACACATGTATATATAATTTCATAGGCTACTCTGTATCAAAAGAATAAACACAACTACAGTGCAATAGATTGAAAGTATCAGTAGTAAAACGAATGAAAGTTAAATTTATTTATTTTTGTTCATTTAAAAGATGAATACTAATAGCACACTTGATTACATTACTTTTTTGTAAGAAATGGCATGGTGTCTATCTACATAAGATTTGGCTAAGATTTCATCACTTTGTCAGTTAGACTCATTGATTTTTTTCTACTTTTGCCTGAGTGTGATTAGATTATTACTGATTAGCAATTAAATCACTGTGGTTTGTGCTTTTTCTTGTCTTCAATGAAGACAACCCCTGTTTCAAACCCTGGTGAGCTGCCTACTTAGCATTTTAATGCACCATAAAAGTGATCCCTACATAAAACCTGCTACAAAATCTTACTTTTGGCCACATTTAAGGCAGCATTGCAAATTAAGCTCAGTAAAGCTTTTGTGTTTGAGTTTCATCATGAATCTGAGCAGTTCTGAGTGTAACCGTCCTTCTCATTTCTGAATGAAATCAGATCTACTAAAAAGGGCTCCTTTAGTTTAGCACTGAATACATAACACATTCTCTCTCGAAACCACAGCACGTCAATACGAACCTTTTAACCTGTTCACCCAAAAATGGAACTTCATTTTCAATCATTTACACCCCTTCATGTCGTTCCAAACCTGTATGGCTTTCTTTGTTGTGTGGAACACATAAAGTAAGAAGATATTTGAGGAATGTTGTTAACTGTTTCAGATAATAAAAATACTATGGAAGTCAATGGGATCCAAAATTGTTTGGTTACCAACATTCTACAGATTATCTTCTTTTGTGTTCCACAGAACAAAGAAACTCACCCAGGTTTGGAACGACAAGAACTGTCCCTTTAATAACACCTATTCTCTCATGTTGAAATCCAACATCAACAAGTATGAACAACAGATGATTGTTGCTGCAGGAAATGACAATGATATGTGATTTCTGTATCAGTGGTTTTCACAGAATCTGTTCAATGCAGTTACAGTCAGAAGGATGATGGCAAAATGCATTTATGAAACTTCTTTTCCTGTCAGCATGCTTTAGCCATTTCCTAAGACTCATCTCAGGATTAAAAGTACTAAAATATTAAACCCTCAGCCTGTGGTTTTGTCTGAGGTCTGCGAGAACTGGTCACTTCATTAATGACTGTCGTGGCCACAGAAGCGTGTGTGAAAACTGTAGGTGACAGAGGTCAGAAGCTGCGGGTCACCAGCAGCACTCAGGAGCGGTTTGGGGTTATTTGAGGGGCACCTCGTTGAGTGAACGTCAAAGGCGACTGTTTGTTTACCGTCAGTGTTTTGGCTGGCGTTCATCTGAGCGGTCACTTCCCCACGCCTGATAGCAGCACAATCACAGGAACTGCTCGGCCGGGACTGAGCAAAACCCCTCAAACTGGACCGCGTTTCCTGCTGCTGCTCACACTCTAAAAAAATGCTGGGTTAAATACAACCCAGTGCTGGGTAAAATAGGGACAAACCCAGCAATTGGGCTGTTTTGACCCAGCGGTTGGGTTAAATGTTTAACCCAACCTTTTGGGTAGTAACCCAACCGCTGGGTCAAAATAACCCAATTGCTGGGTTTGTCCCAGCTATTTTACCCAGCACTGGGTTGTATTTAACCCAGCATTTTTTTGAGTGCACCGAAACAGGGGTTTAAAAACCTGTAGATCCCACAGACCCCTAAATATATATAATCATCCACATATGAGGGACCCACATCCTGAAAATGAAAAAAAATCAGGGTAACACTTTAGTATAGGGACCAATTGTGACTTATACACTCTTAAAAATAAAGGTTCCAAAAGGGTGTTTTCACAGCGGTGCCATAGAAGAACCAGTTTTGGTTCTCCAAAGAACCTTTCAGTGAACAGTTCTTAAAAGAACCATTTTTGAAGAACATTTTAATAATCTAAAGAACCTTTTTCCACTGTAAAGAACCTTTTGTGGAATGAAAAGGTTCCAGGGACGTAAAAGGTTCTTTGTGGAACCATTGATGCCAATAAAGAACCTTTATTTTTAAGAGTGTAGTTGCTTGTTAGCATGCCTATATTAACATATTGGCTGTTTATTAGTACTTATAAAGCATATATTCTGCATGACCATATTCTACATCCCTAATCCTACCCAATACCTAAACCCAACAACTACTAACTATTAATAAGCAGCAAATTAGGAGTTTATTGAGGAAAAAGTCATAGTTAATGGTTTGTTAATAGTGAGAATTGGACCTTAAAATAAAGTGTGACCAAAATCAGATATATCTTTGTGTGTAAAGACCCAATTTATTCTGTGAAACATGAATAATTATAAATATGTGTAAAATATTATTTGGAAAATATTTAGCCTCTTTTCCATTACATAAATTTTCCCACTTATACTGTTTCGTTAGATGTATTATTTAAGTATGTTTTTAATTATAAATTTTAATCTTTGATTGACTGATTGATTTTGTTTTTTATTATTTATTTTGTTTAATCTTATTTAGTTTAATTTCATTTTTATTATTTAGTTTAGCTGTCTTACTCTTATTTTTATTTATTAAATGTCCTTATTTTATTTATATATATTTTTATTTTTAATATTATGTTTCTACTACATTTCTTTCATTCTACTCACTATAGTACTGTACTGTTAGATTTATTATTTATTTAAATCTTTATTTAAATTTGTATGTGCTTTATTCTTTTTTATTTAGTTAGTTTTATTGTTCTATTTATTTGTTTGTATTATATTCTTTTTACTACACTTAAAAATAAAAGTTCCTTTTTGCAGCGATGCCATAGAAGAACCATTTTTGGTTCCACAGAGAACCTTTCAGTGAACAGTTCCTAAAAGAACCATTGTGAAGAACATTTTAAAAATCTAAAGAAACTTTTTTGACTGTAAAAGAACCTTTTCTGCATTTGAAAGGTTCCATGGATGTTCAAGGTTCTTCATAGAACCATCGATGCCAATAAAGAACCTTTATTTTTAAGAGTGTATGTGTTTTTCTCTCAACTTTCCCAGGACCCCCAACAATTCACTGTGTGTGGCCCCCAATTTGACAACCTTAAAAATATAACAGCCAAGAAGACTCAAGAACAGCTGTAATATTTGAACTGTATTATAATTGGACTTTATCAAATATCTGAGTGACATGGTTTATAAATAGAAGTCTTAGCGGTTTATACAGCAATTACGTAACCTTTAACACTATTTTATTGCCTGCAAGCACTGTTTTTTCCACTGAAGAAATACAAATCTGTATTAAAGTTGACTTGACGTGAACTTCAAATAACAGGCCTATATGCTGAGGAAACGCACATGTATCTAATTATTTTCAGTTGGCGTTAACTAAGGCGAATATAAATCCCGTTCGTTCACGGAGCTCCTCGGCATAGTTTATGTTCAGCTCCCAGCCTACTCTCCGCCCCCGCGAGCAGACGCAGATCTCTCGCTGTCTCTCTGTCTGCTGTAGTCCTCAGAGCAGCGCGTGTGTCGCCTCGCGTCAGGAGCGTCAGGATCAGGATCAGGATGGTGGCGAAGGGTTACCCCCTTTACCTGCTGATCAAACGCGCGAGCGGCCGCGGGGACGAGTCACAGGTGAGACCGACAGAGCTGATGAACACCGCTGACGGAATAACACGAGTTATCATTCTTATTACTACTACTGACCAGAATACGTACATTATTCTCGAGCAAGCGTTTTTATTCAGTATTATTTAATTTTTAAATGTTTATACTAAAATGTAGCCAGTAGGCTAGTTTGCTGCTTTGCACTGTTGTGGCTTCTAAATGTGTGTAGGCTATTTGTTTACATGCAGAGCTTTATGTGAGTTATTTTGAATACTGCTGTGGTGTATTGTCACACATACATTGTTAAAAAACTGACTTGTGCCTGATTTGTGTAAAATCCTGAAATCAGTGTATTTATAGTCACATCTGCACATTGACTGGATGAAGGAGCTTGAATGTTTGAATCGTGACTTGTGTGACTTACCATATTCCTTGAGAAGCAGAAGTCAGGTTTGGTCGGGTTTCATCACATGCTTCAGTGTGGTGAAGTTTAGCAGATGTTTGTGGTGTTTGGCTGCTTCTGATGTGGTTTGTGCATCTGGAGGCCAGCGCTGGGTTTTTCTGCATCATTTCTTCACAGACTGCTAATGTTTTTGCTGTGTTGTGTGTCCAGATGCATGGCTGCTGTAAGGCTGAGAAACTCCTAGGCTACTACTGATGTTTTTATCTTTCTGTCCTGTTGTTTGTAGTTTGGTTTTTTGAGTTAAACAGACTCTGATTTTAGTGTGAAGTCAGCTTTTTATTCAAAGTGTGTTTAAACCACTATAGTGGCCCAAAGAGCTGATATAATCTAGTTGACTGGACAAAAAAAAGTCATCGTGTATGAAGTGCTATGTTTTTTTTAGGCACATACTATGATGATGATAAATAATAATAAATTGTGTTGCCCTGCTGACTTCACATGCAAAAGCATATACAGCACAATGCACTGTCCTTTTTGTTAACAGATCACTCAGTTTGTGTATGTTTTTTTAGTGCTGTCAAATGATTAATCGCATCCAAAATAAAAGTTTTTGTTTACATAATATATGTGTATGTATTGTGTATATTTATTATGTATATATAAATATACACACATGCATGTATATATTTAAGAAAAATTTTATATTTGTATATTAAATATATTTATATATAATATAAATTATATAAATATATACATGTAAATATTTTCCAAATATATCCATGCATGTGTGTGTGTATACATAATAAATATACACAGTACACACACATATATTATGCGAACAAAAACTTTTATTTGGAATGCGATTAATTGCGATTAATCGTTTGACAGCACTAGTATTTTTATTGAATGATTGGTGAATCAGACTGAATTGGAGTCTTTGCTCTGAATCATTCACTGAATCACTGCAGATGACTCATTTGCTCACTGAAACGCTGGTTATCACAACCTGAATCACGTCTGAAGCTGAGAACTGTTACTGCTTTATGTGCACTTCCAGAAAGCCAGACTGAAGATGCACTTAGTAAAACTTAAATCAGTCTAATTACTGACTGGTTAACTGCTTCTCTTACCACAATGAATTCAGTTCATTCTGCTTTATATCAGGTGCAGTGCGTTTTTAGCTCAGTTAGGAAAAACAAGAGTCTTTGATCATAAGCCCACTGCACAAGAAAACATATTTATGGATTATAATTATAGACAGAGCAAACTGTTGTTTTTCTGCATATTTTTGTGAGCAACACACAGCCTGCATGCTGCCGCTTCTGCTTTGTGAATGCTCAGTAATAATTTGATACATATAAGCATTTAAAATTCACAGCAACACAGGGAAAAGTGAGTAGTGACAGTTCTGCTTTCCTGAGGTTAGTATGGTTTCAGCTGTGAGGCTGAGATTGAATATCCTCACTGTCCTTCTAGCGCTCGTCTCTGGTGTCGTTGTGGTTGTGATCTCTGTGCTTTTCAGTAGCATGACTGACTGCACAAAACATTGACTGCAAGCTGTTTTACTGATACGTCCATGATGCCATCGTCTTTCAGCAAATGTGCAAGCAATGTATCTGTTTGACCTGACAGTAAATTCACACGCTTCTGCTGCTCTCATGCAACATGTGAAAATGCAAGGTCGTTTTTTCTTTCGATTTTGATTGACAGATCGAATTCAGTCATTTAGGAGACACAGCGAAAACACTAAATTTATACACTTCTAAAAAATCTATTTACGAAACTTAAAATGTACTAAAAATTACCATCACCTTTTTTGTTTAGTATGCTTAATGTGCAATAGCATATAGCAAACAGAGAATGAACAGTACAAAGTTTAACGTTTAACCATTGTAAACCATTGTAAAGAAAAACACTGAAGAAAATGCTTAGAATTGCTATGTAGTAATATTTGACCCTGGAGCACAAAACCAGTCATAAGTAGCACAGGTGTATTTGTAGCAATAGCCAAAAATACATTGTATGGGTCAAAATTATAAATTTTTCTTTTATGCCAAAAATCATTAGAATATTAAGTAAAGATCATGCTCCATGAAGATATTTTGTAAATTTCCTACAGTAAATATATCATTCCATGGAGATATTTTGTAAATTTCCTACCGTGAATATATCAAAACTTAATTTTTGATTAGTAGTATGCATTGCTAAGAACTTCACTTGGACAACTTTAAAGGAGATTTTCTCAATATTTAGATTTTTTTGCCCCCTCAGATTCCAGATTTTCAAATAGTTGTATCTCGGCCAAATATTGTCCTATCCTAACAAACCATACATCAATGGAGAGCTTTTTTTTTTTCATTTATTTACTTTCAGATGATGTATAAATATCAATTTAAAAAAACTGACCCTTATGACTGGTTATGTGGTCCATGGTCACATATATGTTGTATGTTTTATTAATAAGTGATTTTGGTCATCTAATATCATTAAATTGTATTAAGCATTTTCTTTGTAAAAGTTCTCTATAGGAGAATGCTGGACATCCAGTGGTTTTCACAGCAAAAACACTAGATAATAATTCTAAGAAAATGCTGAAAGAAAAAAATCCATAAAAAACAGATAATACACTAGCTGAAATTTTTTATGTCCCTATATCCTTGACAGAAAACATTATATCCCTAATTTTACAGACTTTTTATGGAGGATATGTGGAATTAGATTTTACTTTTTAAGTCATCAGTACTGTTATAAATATTTTGTGTAAACTTAATGGAATTGCAAACTTTTTTGCACATTTAAAAATTCACCAGGCAACAGGCCAGTGTTTTCCCCTATATTACGTATGAAAAAGGGTTTTTCTTTCCTGACTCTTGGGAGACCTGGAGTCTAGCTGCAGTTTTGGTGTCGTTCATAAGCTCTGAGACTGTATAATTTCTTGCCTCTATTAAATTTGTAATGTTGCAATTCCTTTTGGAGCTGGTTGATTTGGTTTGTAATAAAGTTTGGTTTGTAACTCTAGCCCGCTGGCCTCCGCTCACTCTAGCCCGCCGGGCTAGAGTGAGCGGAGGCCGGGGGCTAGAGTGAGCGGAGGCCGG